CCGTCCCCCCTCGCCCCCCCTCCCCCCTCGCAGGCCGCACAACTGTAACCGCTGCCCCGGCCGCCGCCGCTCCTTCTCAGGCCGGCCGGCGGAGAGCGCAGCGCGGCGGGGCCGGCGGCATGGCTGTGTCCTGGAGGAACTGGCTGGCCAACGAAGGGGTTAAACACCTCTGCCTGGTAGGATGGCGGGCAAGGCTCTCCCTGCGTTTTGTCTCTCGTGCAGCGACTTTGATTCATTCTCTGAGCGTGCGCGGGTGGGGAGCTGGAGACGTTTTGCCTCTAATTCAAATATTCTCAACTAACAAAACTTTCCGCTGTTCATGCCTGGAGATAATAACGACCCCCCCCATCCCACCCCCGCTCCAAATGCATGGGAACTTTGCTGCACACTGATGGGAGAGCGGATGTGGAGGGGGGGAGAAGAGATCACTTGTAGTGAACACATCTTTTTCTTAACCCTTTAAACATCTTCCCCCCTTTGCTCTTTTCCCAGATTGCTTTTGTTTGGTGTTGCATTTTAACAACATGCAATGCTCGGGACGTGGTGATGTCACTAATTTCTTAGGCTCATTTTGTACTGCAGGGGATGTCTGCCGATCATTTAGGAGACGTCTTTGCAACCCAAATGCTTAATCTCAGGTGCAGGGACTGAGTGAGGGCCGATTTGTTTTGCTCTGAGTGGTTTTCAGCTTGATGGTTAATTGAAAATGCTTTCTGCAATTACTAACCCAGCTTCCACAGAAAGTATTGTGTCCAGTGAATGTACTTGAGGTTTCCATTCATCAGGTAATGTTTATTTTTAATTTTTGTTTTCTCTCTCTGTATGATTTAGTTTATCTGGCTCTCCCTGAATGTTTTGCTTTTCTGGAAAGCCTTCCTGCTGTATAACCAAGGGCCAGAGTATCACTACCTCCACCAGATGTTAGGGGTAAGTGGGACTTGGGTAACCTGGTAGAATGGGTTTAAGGTAGGCAGGCATTGCTACCAGGCTTGGTCAGTTCTTCCATTTATTAAAGAAACCCTGGGTGTTCACTTCAGAAAGGTTTGTCATTCTCTAAAGTGGTCAGGTTTCCTTGATGTATCATTTACACTCATGTAGGTTAAAATGACTGACTCTTTTAAGAACCAAAGATACTATGTACAGTGAAGTGAAAGGAATGAAGCTGCCAGACCAGGCTAGTAGTGCCTGAGTGAAGTTGCTACCTCTTGTAGGCTGCCAAGTGCCTTGAAGGCTCTGCTTCACCAGCAGGACTAACCAATGACAGGCTTTTAGTTTTCACTAATCAAGACTTCAGCCTTGCCCCTAAGCTTATCCAGAGGATTTCTGCACTGTTTCCTTTTACTGCCAGTTCTCACAAAGTATGTGTCTAAGGTGGTTATTCATTTCTAGGCATTTCTTAGCTTCTTACCCTAGGTTGATTATGGTTCCAGTATTCTGGCCTAATACGAGAATGATATTGTGCAGAACTTTGCTCCGATTTATCTCATGTTGATATTTTTCCTTTTCTCTATTCCATGACATTTCTGATTTCATTCTTTTCATTCCCTTCCTACTTGACTCCTTAACAAAAGACAGAGGCACTGAAGACATCTTACTTTGTATTAGGAGGTAGCGTTTTCTGAGCAACCAGCAAAAAGTATAAAGTGTATTGAAGAATTTTAGGGCATATGAAAAAGATTTTGTCATTCCTTTTCATTGGGGAAGTGAACACATTCTAAGTAGGAGATGCATTGTTTTCTTTTCCATGGTTTAATGATTATTTAAAATTGTGATTAGGTCACATGAATTTTGTGGAACCAACTTTCCATTTCGTACTTTACGTTTACAGATCTTATTTATCTTTAAACCTCAGGTCTGAGGAAAGTAGTGCTTGGCACATGCTAAGACTGCAATAAATTGAGATTGAATTAATTAACTGATGTTTTATTTTATACAATAAAGTACTATTTTTCATTATCTATTGGTCACACAATTGATATTTTTAAAGTTTAACACCTATTTTTTAAAGAACTTATTTTTTTTAGAGCTATTTAAGCTTCACAGTAAAATTGAGAGTAAGGTGCAGAGATTTCCCGTATGCTTCCCTACCCCCACACATGCATAGTCTCCCCCATTATCAGCATCCCCTACCAGTATGATACATAAGTTATGATTGATGAACCTACATCGACACATCATCATCACCCAACAACTGTATTTTTAACTAATGGGTTAAGAAAAATAGTCTCAAAGATGAAACTCATTTTATTGCTAACTTTTAAAAAAAATTATTTATTTATTATTTTAGAGAGAGAGAGAGCACACTGGGGAGGGACAGAGGCAGAGTGGGAGGGAGAGAATCTCAAGCAGACTCTGCACTGAGCGCAAGCCTGATGTCCAGCTTGATCCCACAAATGCTGAGATCATGACCTGAGCCAAAATCAAGAGTTGGTGCTCAACCGACTGAGCCACCCAAGTGCTCCTCATTTTATTGGTAACTCTTAAATCTGAACATTTCTTTCTCTTTTTCATCTAACCAACTTTCCATTTCCATCTATCAAACTGTCATGAAACCCATGCTTTTCAAATGGACACATAGAAAGTGAGCCCTTGCCCCTGCCCTCAAGTTTCTTACAATCTAATGGAAAATTGAACAAGTATATACTTATAATTGAATAAACAAGTTAAGAAAAATTTTCTCTAATAAACATATGAAGGTCTCTGACCTGTCTTTTTAATTTTTTCCCCTAGAAAGTCCCCCTTAGTTGTGAATTAGTGAACACAAGATTTTTCAGTAGGAGATATCTGACCTATTATGTAACTATATGAATAACTTGGAGAAAATTCAAAAGAGTTATGATGGCAAGTTTTGCCATCAAAAATGGCAAATTTTGATAAAGAGATATTTGTATTACTATACAATCTAAGAATAGGTAACTTGAAGCCACAAATGAACTTTGGATTTCAGCTCTATGGTATAGTATAAGCTAAAATAATAACTTACTTAAAAATTAATTATGTTGGAAACCAGCAAGTTAATTTTTATGAGCTTGGATGCTGTGTGACAACTTCAAATTTATTTTGGTGACAAGTCAGAGATGATGAAGAGTATACGCATACACACACGTATTACCCAACTAATTAAAACAAATTAAGTATGTTTTGCCTCTCGCCATCTCACTCTAGTGCTGTTGTTTGAATAATATGACAGGCTAGTGAGGTTCAATGGTGAGGCCGGCAGACCAGCTGGCACATAGTAAGGGCTCAATAAATACTCATCAGATGAATGAAGGAAAAAAATGACAAAAGGGCTAAATGGAAAACTATGAGTGAAAAGTGCAAGAAACAGAAGAAGAGAGAGGTCATTGTAAATTAGTTTTTATAGAAACCTAAGAATGACCATAGTGAGTTGACCCTTAGGCCATCCTGTCAGAAGTCAACACTGTATGAAAAAAGTCACTGTGGGGAGGAATGGTTTTTCTCCTTGGCATCCTCCTGAAAAATGAAAGATGACTTCCAAACTTCTCACTTTTCAGTAGTTACCTATATGGTGATTTTCTAGGCATTAATTTATCTAAACCATTTTGGAATATTTTCAGTCTATCTTACTCTACTTTTTAGTGAAACAAGAACTCTGTGGTTTTACTATTTGCTTTATGAAGGAGGACTTAATTTTATTTGTCCTAGGCTTATCATTCCTAATCTTTTGATGATTATGGTATTACCTCATAGTGTAAGAATTTGCAGGCATTTTTCAAGTCGCAAAGAAAATAGAGTATAACAAGGGGATATAATTAATTTTAAAATAAATATTGCTGGCTCCCATCTTTTACATGTTTAATACTGCTACTTCATTATTATTAATGCCTTAGATAGAGCATCTTAGAGCCTACCGAACACTCACGAGAACAAGGTCCCACTGTGATGAATTTTAGATAGCCTGAAAAGGACATAATAAATATTCTGATATTACAAGTCTCTCTCTCTCTTTAAAGATTTATTTATTTATTTTAGAGAGAGAGAGAACACGAGAGGGAGGGGTAGGACAGGGAGAGAGAATTTCAAGCAGACTCTGCGTTCAGCCCAGAGCCCCAGGCAGGGCTCAATCTCATGACCCTGTGATCACAACCTGAGCCAAAATCAAGAGTCGGATGCTTAACTGACTGTGCCACCCAGGTGTTCCCATAAGTCTCTTTTGAAGGTGAATTTTAGATTCATAAAAATCATGGTGATATTCCTGGAAATGAATTTACTACCACTTTAAAACACAAATGGAAGGAGTCCCTCCAGTTGTTGATTATTTTGATAATAACATGGAGTATAAAGGTTGCTGTTATTCATCTTTAAATGTAAGGTAGTAACAAAGTTGCAGGAGTATGAGGGGAAGGAAGGGTCTACAGAATATAGTCCATTTACAAGAACGCATAGATATTGACAAGCGGTTAATTCTTAGTAGTTTGAAATCTCTGTTTTCTACTGAAAACCGACTATGTGTTCAACTGTTTATTCCTGTCATATGCCAGACACTTTACAAATATTTGGTTTAAGCTAGGAAACCATTCTTCCCATTTTATACATGGGAAAAGGTGGGCGGAGGAAGCTGATGACTTGTTCAGAATCAGAGCTAGGATGTGATTGCAGTTCTGTCTGGCCTTTTTGCCTTTCCTCATGCTACACAGATTTTCAGCAAAACACTTCACTGGCCCATCTCTGATAGTTAGGCCACTGGTTACTATTACTCATCATCAGTGCTGCCCAACAGAAATGTAATATGAGTCATGCAATTCAAATTTTTTTTGTAGCACATTAAAAAAGTGAAATGCTAGTGCCATTAAATGTAATAATATATTTTATTTAAAAGAGTCTATCTAAAGTATTGGATTGAAGTATTCAGCATGTAGCCAATATTTTAAAAAATATCAATGATGTATTCTAGCCTGTTGCCTATTCTTTGAAATATATGGTATGCATTTTATACTTGTGCACATCATAATTCAGTCACCAGATTTTCATCAGAAATACTTGTGTTTAGATTTCATAAAATTTTTACAAATAAAAAAGTGAATTCACATACCCAAGCTGTTGCAAACATATTTAAAATTTTTCTAATAACACAAAGGACTATCAGCTTTAAGTTTAAATTAAAAAAAAATAATAAACCTAAAAATTGAGTTTCTTGGTGGTCCTAGGCACATTTCAAATGCTTCATAGCTGTGTGCAGTTAATGGCTACCGTTTTGGACAGTGTAAGTGTAGACTGTGGGGGAAGATGTTTCTACTTCCGTGGTCACTTGCACTTATCATTTTGTTTTACAGCAAGCAGCTAGCCACCAACCTGCCCAATAAAAAGACATCAGGTTATGGGTAGTCCTCTTGCTCTCCCTTTCCAAAACAGTTGATATCGGATAAGAAGTCACGGTCTCTAGCTGTTGGTGTGTAATCATAAAAATATCTCTGACTTCTCCCTAATCATCTGAGCTTTTTGGTGGTGGGAACCGTTGAGAATGAAGGTAAAATTATTTCATTCTCAGAACTAGTGGATCCATTTTTTATCTATATTTATTTATATTTATAGGATGTTAGTTGATTGTTCTCAGGCCAGAATTAACAATTAAAAAAACTGCATAAGAACTGTCAGAGAAAAGATCTTAACTGATGGAAGATAAAATAATGTTGAGGTTAATGTATCTTAGTAGGAGTTTTCATCAGGACTGTTCTTTCCCAGACTGGTCTGACCCAGACCTGGAGGCAGCCTGGTCACGGTTGGTTTATGCCTGAGTTAATGTGCTAATCAGACTGTGCACTTCCTAGGAGATGTTTAATTATGACATGCTGTGAGTTTTGGAATCTTAAAATTAAGCTAAGAAGAAAAAAAAAAAAAGTCTTTTGAGGGAAGCCAAAACAAACACACGCGCACATAAACTAACCGAGCAATAACCTCCTCCACCT